GTATATACAGCCTCCCCCTATAGAAACACAGCACCATCAGAAATTTTTTGGACTAAGTTCTTCCAGAAAAACAAAATATCCTAGGTAATTTATATCCATTAGTTTAACTATGATCCAACTATGATCCTATAAAAATTTCTAAAACTATAACCTTCATTAGATCTAAATTCAACATAAACTTGTATGTAATTATTTTCAAGTAAAAATAACATTCTAGTAGAAATATACCTGATTAGTTTGGCTACTATAATATGTTATACACAGGTACACTCCTGTAGTAACTATATCCTCTTTCAACTGCTAGGGGCTTTCTTGTTTGATTGGGTTGGAATTTCTTCACTTTAAGGAAATATGTTAGATAACTATTAACTTTTGTAGGCAAAGGTTTGTCAAGAATAGGACACTTTTAGAAAACCTTCCATGATAAACAAAAGTTAAAAGAATTTGCAACTAGAAAGCTTGTACTGCAGAACATTCTCAACAACATATTCCATGAAGATGAAATGAAAAGAAAAGTGAAAACTAGCAAAGGAAGGAACTACACTAAAGGAATAGTCTATCAAAGTCTCCTTTTAATTTAAATTAAAAATTAGAAATAAACCCAAATGACCAGATATACAAATCATATTTCAATAATAACCTTGAATGTTAATGACCTAACCTCATCATTCAAAAGACACAAACTGGCAGATTGGATTAAAAAGCAAAACCCAACAATATGCTTTCTCCAAGAGACTCATCTCATAGGCAAAGACATCCACAGAGTGAAGGTGAGAGGACTGGAAAAAACATATCATCCGCATGCATTGGAAAAACAAGCAGAGGATTCTATCTTCATATCAAATAAAGTGGACTTTAAGCCAAAGTTAATCAGAAGGGGAAAAGAAGGACATTTCATACTGCTTAAGGGAATTATTATACATCAAGAAGACATAACAATTGTAAATATTTATGCCCCCAAAGAATGGAGCATCTACGTACATCAAACAAACCCTTTTCAATTTCAAGGATCAAATATGCCACAGCACAACAATACTGGGTAACTTTAAGATGGCTCTGTAGCTACTGGATAGATCCTTCAAACGAAAACTAAATGAAGAAGCTCTAGAAGTAAAAAGTAAAATTGATAATCTAAACTTAACAGGCATATATAGAATATTTCATCCATCAATGACTGAATACACTTTCTTCTCAGCAGCACACAGATCCTTCTCTGATACAGACCATGTTATATAAGCTATCACACAGGTTGGCATACAATTATGATATTACTTTAATATATTTTTAGCATCTGTAGGGTTATTTTGATAGCTCCTTTTCCAATGATATTAATTTTTGTATTCTTGATTTTCTCTTGATTAGATTTGTTTATTTTTTATCAATTTTTAGCTGTATTATTTCTTCTGTATTTCATATACTTTTGTTCCTACTCTTTTTTTCTTCCAATAAATAATTTGAAAATAATTTGGTTGCTATTCTAGCTTCTTTCTGATACATGTACTTTAAGTTATAAATGTTCATCTGAGTACTGTTTCATCCCATAGATCCTGATATTTTAAGATTTTATTATGACTTAGTTCAAAGCACTTTTTATTTACTCTTCTTGTGCTTTCTTTCTTGATCTCTGAGATATTTATAAGTGTGCCATTTAATTTTGAAATAGCTGACATGTGGGAATGGGGTTTTATATATCTTTAGGTAATTGATTTGTAATATAATAAAACATGCAGGAAACACAGTCTGCATGGATTCAAGTTTTTTAAAAAATTAATGGAAATGCTTTTTATATTGATTGTATTGGTTACATACATGTCAGAACTGATCAAATTGCATATTTTACATATGTGCATTTTATTTTACTGCAATTTTACCTCAATAAAGCTATGGATAAAAGAAGAACAGGACATTTTTCTTTAATAATAGCAAGCGACGGAATCTATCTGAACATTAAGATAAATCCTTCTACTCAAAGCAAAAGTAAGGGCATGATAAGGAACATTTCCAATGCAATTAAGTCTTTCTCTTTTAGTTTATGACCCATGAGATTAAATTACCATCTGTTATTTTTAAATGACATTAAGATTGGCTCTCAAAATCATAGCTTATTTTATTTCCAAAGTCATATAATGGTTACATTCTAAAATGTTATCAATAATAGAAACTTTATTATGAATACTTGGGAGTGTCTCCTGTAAGCCATGTGGTCCTTGGCATATAAGGACCACTTTAGTTTAGTACTTTAGTTTCCCCATGAGTTAGGTGGGGATAATGAGATTGCTGGAAGGATAGAGTTAGTTAAATGTATAGAGCATTTAGAAAAAAGAATGAGCACTTAATAATACTAGTGACTATATTTCCATTATGGTTACTTTATATATTAAATACATGTCATTCATTCTCCACTGGAATTTCTATTTTGAAAGAAGATACACTTCATTCAACTGTCCTTAAAAGGGAGGGCACTTTCTGATCTATTGATTTGGATGACACTCAAAATCAATACAATTGTCCCTATTTACTCAGGAATCCCCTCTGTGGAATTTCTGTGTTATTCATCTCAATTCATGAGCATACGCTAACTCCTCTATCTGAAGTGAGCCATAAGTTTGTCAGAACTCAGGAAACTAGAACACTGAATCTACTTTTAAACTGCTTATTTACAGTAAGGAAAACACAGCACATAGAGGGAGAAACAACTATATGAATATATTTAAAAAGAAGAAATAAAACAGTAATACATGATAGGGATTTTGAGAAAAGGGGAAAGATACACCTGATGTTTTGTCCTGTGTGTTCTTCCTTTTTGTGGAGGTGGAGGAGGGTCAGAGGTGGTTATGCAACCTAAGGAGTTGTTATATAATCAGTGCTTTGCACAGGCAAGGTTTCATAAATCTCTTTCCTTCACATAATTAAAACCAAGAATCCTTCACATCATTGCTATAAGGAAGGTAGAAAACATTTTTTAGACTTATTCATATTTTCAATGTAACTATTATTCATGCCTAAAATCAATTACTTTAATTTCTGTTGTCCTAAAAGAACTATATTTTTCTTCCTCTGACTCCTGACTGGACATTTCAAGGCTAGCTCAGCTTGCTGCATTTGTCACCCAGGGCTCCTTCCATGGGCTACCAACAAAGACACAGGCTTCAGAGGATTTAACATGATGAAAATGGTGTATGCAAAAACCAAAACTCTAAATTCTCTGAAATTAGTCACAATTAAGAAGAAATGTCACCCTTCACACTATAGCAGTGTCTTGGGCAATTTTTCCTGTAAGCTGTAGTAAATCTTTGAGTTCCTCCATGAATTTAGCTTGAGTGATCATGGCTAGAGGTGCAGGTTCTGGATGGAGATTGCCTTACCTTTCAAATCCTTTCTCTGCTCTTTACTAACTATGTGACTCCTGGGAACTTATCTGACCTTTTCTGAGTTCACTTGCTTTATCTGTAAAAGGGAGAAATTATAACATCTCCTTAGGGGTATAGAAAGGAGTAAAGGAAGGGAGAAAGAAAGGATATATCAAGGAGAAATGCAAAGAAAGTTAATAAAATTATCTGTTGCATTTTATATGTGTAGATTTCTTGGAAATTTATCTGAAGGTATACATTTCCATCCATTCTCAATTTCCTGCTCCTACTCTTTAGATTCAGTTGTACTGTATTACATCCAAATAAAAACATAAAATAATGAAATGGAGCAAAATAAACATCATGGCTAAAACAAACTAAATTTGTATGGAAATACAGTGCTAAGATAAAAGTCAAAGGTGGGAAAATATAGAGAGGGAAATAGAAACAAGAAAAAAATCATCTGATACCTGAGAATATCATCTAAACTTCCCTTGTAATGCCCTATTTCAGACAATCCATGTTACTGGCTCATCAAAGTCTCAGTGAAAACTAATTCATATGTACATTGTACATGTGTGAATTCTCTTTACCATATAATAAAGCCCTGGTAAATAAAGACATAAATTGAGTTTGACCATATAACCATTAATCATGCAATTCTATCTCTCATTAGAGGCACAGGCTCACAGTTTGTAGATCTCTATTTTTATATTAGTCTCTCTAAGATCAAGCATAAAATGAATAGGCCATTAACTGTGCTTTATTTTTCTCAGAATTAATCTATTAAAGATATGAAACTTAAAATATTTTCACCTGCTTAAGATTTTAAATTGAAAAATTTATATTCACACAAAAAGTGGTTTCTCCTCTCTTTTAGTAGAGAAACCGCGTACATGTATGAGTAATGCAGCAATTTGTGTATTTCATGAAATTTAGTGACTCTTATGAACTAGAAAATATAGCATCTTTGATCAAATTCTGAACTTTAATGTTATACAACATGTCATAACATTGATGACACATGGGTTTCAAAAGTAGAATGTAGCCACTTCTATGAAATCAGATTTCATGAAATCAAAATGCATATCAGAACTAGAACCCTCCTTCGAGATCTCAGATACAGAGGGTAGACCTCTTTTAATTGCCAGAGGTCTATTCTAATGGCTTTCATTTTTAACACGTTTTCTTTTTAAATAAATAATTTGCTGGAATGAAGTGAGGATCAAATCCAGGCCACTCTGTCATATCAACCCATCATTTAAACTTTGATTCCTCTCCCAAACCTCTCTTCCTTTGCCCATTTCCAGCCTCTGGGCTATTACTCTGCTCTCAATCTTTTGAAAGTTTGAAACCCAGTATTGAAATGCATCCCTTCTTTTAAAAGTTCAATAAAGTAAAGACCAGAAGGAATAAGAATATTTTCTAAGGCAACATAGTGATTTAGTAGCCAAGACTATAATTTAGATTTCCTGTCTTTTTATTTTGAGTTTTGTAGGACAACCTCTTCCTTTTATAAAGTAACTGACTGTAAGTAGGTATCTGCTAAAGTATTCCTGAAGTTTTTAAATGATTTTTATATAAATCCTGCATATATGACATTGAACTATATATGGAATTAATTCCAAGAAGAAGCTGTTTTATTCTTACTCTTGTGTTATTTCTTTCAGCTTTAAGTTCAGAGATCTCTTCCTCTTTTTCTAGAAGTTGCTCTCGACAGGCATTCAATTCTTTTGTCAGTGCAGCAAATTCCTGGAAGGGAAATAAAAAAAAATATTTGAAAGGGTATTCAAGTTATCAAAAGATAAAGAGAAAAACTTAAGCAGAAAGAGAAAAATGTAAAATAAAAGCTTTGAGTGAAAAGTATGCAGAAAATTGATTCGGTTGATATAGATTGCTATTATGAAAGTATATTGATTTTTTTGTTCAACTGGTACTAATCCATGATACTTATTATGTGCATTTTATTATAATATACTGCTTATATGGATGTATAAAGTGTATTTCAAAAGTATCACATACATCATATTAATATAACTTAGCATTAATATAATATTTATTGCTAGAATGACTTAAGCTTGGCTAATTTTTTGAGTAGCCATCCAAACCTTGCACTTTGGTTCCCAGATAGCAATATTCAGGGTATAGTAGATCATCAAACTAACAACACAGACCCCTGATGAATGTGCTAAAAATTAAGAATTTTGTTTGGTAACAGGGTGAGGAAAGAGGAAATCTACCTGTCTTACAAAATAATAAATGTATCAAAGATTTGATAAGATTGTCTTGTGAATCTTTGTATTACTGTCTTTCTAAATGGCAATCTCTGCATGTTTAGTAAGCTTGACTAGTTCATGTTATACCACCAGCATCTAGGACACAGTGGAAACTCAATTAAGGTCATTTTTCAATAAGTGAAAATGGTTTATATTGTAATAAATGATTGAAGAAGTCTGGAGTAATCCTATCTTCATGGGCTTACTGAAGAAATCTCTTGTCTTCTTTCCCAAAATGCAAGCACAAAACATATGATTAGGAATTCACTATTTGCTGGTGAATTTAAACATGGAAAAGACTGCTTAGAAATACCAGAAAACCTAATTCAACCATTCTGCCACTCTAAATTATAAAAATATTACATAATTTTTTTAAAAAATGGCAAACACATCCTTATTATGATTAAGCCCTTTAGAGTGATTCTCAGTAGTAAAACTGATGCTTGGCAAATATTTAAATATTTGGGGAAACTTAGGTCCAAGCTGAAATGGCATTTTCAGAAGATAAAAAAGAAAAAAAAATATGGGGGAGACAGTCTTGGTTAACCTCCATAATTTGCCTCCATAAAGGCAATTTTAGTAAAAAGTAAATGAATATGATGATTATGCTAAGCTGGGAAAGGTTTGGGGTTTACATTCTTGTTTTCTTCAAACCACTTATTTTCCTCTGTTTCTTTGAATGGCATCAACCCAGTGGGTACTTCAAAGAACTAAGGGTAGACTCCAGGGCTTAGAATTCAGATGAAAGAGTTTGTTGTTACATTCTGACCAGCCTTACAGATGAATGTTTTCTCCTGTGATTGCTCCCTGCATAAATGTTGTTGATAACCCTGAGCATATTATTTAAGTGGAGAAAGGAAATGAGCAACAAGTAGAAAACAGGAAATCCTTCTCTAAAAAATGAAACTTTCTTTATACATTACATAATCGGGTTGGAGAAAAGAAGTGACATATAAAGTTTCTCTACTGTATGTTGTTAACATATAGGCATTTAAGCATAATCCTATAGTCAAACAACATAATATTCACTAAGGTACAATGTAAATCGAATCTGTATATTTAAGACCATACCAGTAAATAAATAAACAAACATATACCAATATATTTTTCTAGGGGTTAGCTTATTGTCTACAGAACAACAATAACAACAAAGAACAAATAAATATTTCAGAATTTTCTTATGAGATCTCCAGTGAAATTATGAATGATTTCTGTTTTTCACCTTTCCCTTATATGTTCCCATTATCAAAACTTTGAAAAAAGAAGAAATAGGCTTTTTTTTTGCTTACAGAATAAGAGAAAAATAAATTCATAAGTGCATGGAAATGATCATGCAGCTGAAAAAGAGGACAGAAATTAATCAAAAGCAAGTGTTATGATAGTAGAGAATTTGACATTTTTTTCTCATCATGTCAGATTCTAAGAAGGTCTTTTAATGCCTAGATAGATAGGTAGATAGATAGAGCTTTCATTTCTTAATTTCCTAGCAGATTTCAGGGACTACTTTTACATTCATTACCTTATCTTGCTCTACAGATTCCTAGTAAGGGAGTCTCTTTCCCATGAGACTAATGGTGGAGAAAGATGAATTACTAAAATGTGCATCCAAGTTCACAATGATATAAAGCCATACAGAGTGAGTTATCTCTGAGCATAATTTTCCATATTGCAAGTTCACTGTTTCTCTACTGTATCACTTTGAACCTAGTTGTTCATTGGGTTTACATGACTCATATTTGGAGTGCATTTAGCAGTCTCCATTTTATAGTCTGAAGTATTAAATAATCATTACCACAATTATATTTCATGATCTCCCTTGATTACTCCACTGAGAGTGTGGGGAGCTAGGAGACCCAACGCAGGGCAACCAGTGTTAGAAAAGCATGTGTTACACATCTGGAGCTTTTATAGATGCAGATTTCAGATATGCAGACACAGTGGAATTAACCATCGAATATTTTTATAGATTTCTTTTGAAATTTTTCTTTTCCATGCCTGCTTCTCCATTTTTACTATCAGCATGAAGTAGTATCATCTTGTAAAAAAAAATACTAACACCAAATATATATATAATTAACATTGAGTCATTACAATATACCAGGAACTCTACTAACAATTTGTATCTTGTTAATTTATTATATTGTTAATCCTAATAACATTTTCTTACAAACTCTAAAATCTCACTGAGGTGTAGATAAGGCATTTGCCCAGTAACTTAGTCAATGCTGGAGCTGAGCTTTGAACTCAATTTTTCCTTTATTGGATAATTAAAATCAGGTATGTTCTCCCTCCTGATCTCAGGGTTTTCCCTTCTAAATTGTTCTTCCTTCATTCTTTGTAAAAGTTATCTTGCTCAAGTTCACAAAACATTCAGAGTTTCCTACTATTAAACACATCAAGTTAAACAGACTTTAATTTTTAAAATTCAAACTATCCAAAACAAGTCCTTTAAAAATTAACTATTACAGAATAATAACAACCACCTTAATTTTAAACAGGTGGCATTTTGTTGTGTTATCCTCTGTGCTAAATATTTAACATGTATTACTTCAGTTTTTATTTTTATTTTTTCAGATGAGGATATCGAAGATTAGTAGGGATGAATAACTTGTTTAAGATCCAAAGCTAAAAATGACCCACCCTGATCCTAAACTTCTTTTACTTCTGCAACACTGCCTCCAACTGGCTGGAAATGGAAAATCTCTTAGAAAATGTATCCTTGCGCTAACCTTCCATTCATACAACAGGTATTGGGATTTGTCACACATCATACCCTAAGCTAGGTGCTGAAGGTATAAAGATAAATTAGAGATAGTTGCTTCACTTGACTTCAATGGACTTTCAGAATTCAATTTAAGACCCTTCATGGGTTACCTTTCTAAACAAGAACTCCACACCCACCACCAAAATGCCACACAAAGGTTAATACTGTTCAACTATTAATACTATTACCAATGCCTCTTTAAAGCCCTTTATTAGAAAGTCCATTTTCTGCAATGGATTTCACTTCCCTGTGTTCTTTCTTTCTATTTTATCATATATATTTTTTTCTGTTCCTCTCACATACAAGCCTAATTCATTTTTTTTAAAAGCAACAACCTGTTTTTGTTAATGCTTTATCATATCTCACTGCATTGGGTTTACAATAATGGAGTTACATGTTTATTTCCTCTAAGTAAACAATATGACCCTTTAAGGCAAAGTGATTTTATTTATAACTCTTAGCAAATTTCCTAGAACATTGAATACAAATTCAGTAAATTCTTATTGTGACAACAGATGTATGGCTTGCTTTCCCTGAACTCTTCAAATTTAGTGTCAAATAATCTAGAAGGTGATATTAATTAGTCTTCTTACTCTTATGAAGTGAGAAGACTATAATTTGCTTAATATAGAACAGTTATGATGGCTTTTTTACTCTGTAGCTGTTGCTATGTCCTCATCTGAAATACATTCTACTATATTCTACACAGCAATGGTATTATTCTTTCCCATGTTTTATTACATTTTTGTAAAGTGATACAATGTCTACCTGAAAAGTGCCAAATTCAACAAGTATTCAGAAAATCCTTTTTGATCCTGATAATTTCTACAAATAGGTATGCAATATGTCACCAATCTAGGAATAGTCCAGCTTTAGTACTGATACTCATTATCATAAAACCATAATGTTTAGATATAAATATTAGTGCTGATTGTAAACATAATAGAATGAATTAGAATATGCATATTTGAAAGATAAATGAGTAGAAAGCAACAATGAAAAAATTCTATTCATAGTGCTTTGGGTCTATTCCTCCCTATAGTTTGTGCATTCAGATTTACCATTTGTTCATTGGATACATAACATTGATCTTCTTGATTTGGAAAGTGAAAATACATCTTTAACCAATATGTTATTTTCTTAGTGTAGTGTTTCTCAAACTATGTTCTTAGAACAGTATTTTAACAAGACTCGCAGCAAGCAGCATTCATAACCAAATAACTTTGAGAAATGATATGTGTTTTACATTTGTTCTTACAAATTTACAGACAGGCATGAGAGAACAGAAAAAATAGGCTACATATTTTATACATATTTTGTATAAAAATGGAAATATTTCAACAATACAATTTGAGCAAAAAAATGTATAAAATAACCCCCATAAAACACAGAATATTATCAATGAGGAATGGATGTTATAAGAAATGTCATTCATATTTCACCATGGCTAAATTTAAAGAAACTCACAGGAAAAGCTGAGTTTGCTTTGAATAACAGAATCAGGAGGAGTCAAATCAAACACCAGCCAAAAACCTTTCCAACAACTTTTCAGACCAGTCATTTTGTTCCCCAACCATAGTTTGCCAAATTCTTACTTGTCCCAAGGAACAAAATTACTTTCTCTACTCTGTACTTTTTTTCCTTGGAATTTTAAAGAGTAGTTAGGATCTAGAACACACAGTGCCATAAAATACCCTCAGACCCAAGGGAGT